CCATCAACTATTGAAATGTCCCCACCAATAGTTTAATTCACGTCAAATCACATTAGCTGTTTCTCTATATGCGTTCTTCAGCGGTCTTGCATCCTCGTGTTCTCGTGCAACGTCATCATCAGCTGCCTAAGTTCAGTTCCAATACTCAAGACCGCAAGTTTGGAGGATGCGTGAAACTTCCCGGATGTGTTCTTGATATCGAGGACGCACCGATGCAGACTTGACCACCGAACTCCCTCTGGAAGTCCCAGAAGTCATTGCGACTGGAGGTGGGAAGCGCAGCATTTTATTTAGATTTATTATTAAAGTTCAGAGATATCACTTATTTACCTCAGGAGTTTCCCTAAATGAAACGATGAAAGTAAACATTACCATGGACATCTTAATAAAGGAATAAACACATTAAGGGTTGTTTGTTTGCTGAAATTCATATTAAAATCTGTTTTATTTATATTGTGCAGAGTATATTTATAATGTTTTTTATGCAAAGTATATATTTTGAAGAGGGGGGGGGGAAACAAAAAATCGTTGTATGAGTGCTGTAATGTTTAAATAATTTACTATTTAAAACGCGTGAAGGTCACATGACCATCAGGAAGAACGCAGCATCCCATTTCTCAAAGGACGCATTCTCTGCCCTTGCGGTCTCCTGAGTTCGTTCTTCCGAGGACACCTGGCAAGACCGGTCTCCACAAGAACGCAAGTCCATTCTCTGCGTTTTTGGAATTGAGAAACGGCGATTCTCTCCTTGAGTTGTACCACCCCCATATCATATATGAACACTGTGATTGGCTGTGACTTTCCCTGCTTTAACGTGAGGGGTTGTAGCTGCATTTGGGTGTAACAGAGGAAAAACTGTGGGTGAATTTCCCTATAGAATTTTCCTGTTCAAGAATAAGGTGGGCATCACGGTTGCACAGTAGGTAACATGAGCGCCTCACAGCAAGAAGGTCGCTGGTTTGAGCCCCGGCTGGGTCAGTTAGCTTTTCTGTGTGGAGTTTGCATGTTCTCCTAGTGTTCATGTGGGTTTCCTCCAGGTGCTACAGTTTCCCCCACAGTCCAAAGACATGCGCTATAGGTGAATTAAATAAGCTAAATTGGCCGTATTGTATGTGTGTTAATGCAGGATTGTATGGGTGTTTCCCAGTGTTGGGTTGCAGCTGGAAGGGCATCAGTTGCGTAAAAAATATGCTGGATAAGTTGGCGGTTCATTCCGCTGTGGTGATCCCTGATGAATAAAGGGAGTACACCAAAAAGGAAATGAATGAAAAAATTTTTACTATTAGAAGCTGGTTATATTCTGTGACTGTTGCCACACAGCTGTTTAAACCCCTTGTGTTGCTGTGTTTACACCAGCCGCGGAAGAAGTGTCAAGCGCGAGTGATTTACATGTTAAGTCAATGCAAACACAAGAATAGACATCCTGCGGCATGATAAGCATGAATGAGATGGCGCAAATGACGTGATTTGCGTGAAATGAAGCGGTGCGAGTTGAATGTTTTGATCGATTGACCTGCATCACGCCCATCATGCAAATCCACGTCTGTTGTGAAGTGAATGTATGTGCAAATGAAGCAGATTTTGATAAGCGAATGAAGCGAGTACACTCAAAATGTTCATGCGTCTATTAATGCACAAATAGCTCAATTTATCCGTGCGTTCCGCATCTGGTGTGAACACAGCATAAAAGTTATTTTTGCATAATAGGTCCCCTTTAAGTTATCTTTATACTATAGTTTTTCTACTATGTTCCTTCCTGTTTATTTTGTAACATACTGTCAACTTTGTTACTTTGTTTAAAACACTTTTTAAGAATCCACTGTGTGATCAGAGACAGATTCAGTTTTAGTTTGGCATTGTGGTTTAACTATTTCACAATTGGTGTGAGATCGTTTAGATCACAATATTTTCTCAGCAAAAGCTCACAATTACCTTTCAATGCTTCAGTTCTTACCAGTGACGAAAAGTGACATAGTTTCTTGTATAATACATAGTTGTAGGTGATAATTAAATCTGTATAGAGGTGAAGTATTTCACAGGTGAGTGGTCTTGACAAACCACCTGTAAAAAACAGTTTTTCGTCTCTCATGGCTGGGAGACCACATGGGAAAGCTGGGTTGCTGCCGAAAGTGGTGTTAGGAAGGCCAGCAGGGGGCGCTCAACCTGTGGTCTGTGTGGGTCCTAACGCCCCAGTGTTTTGATGGGGACTCTATACTGCTCAGTGAGTGTTGTCCTGACTTTTTGTGGTCATTGAAAATTCCAGATTTGCCCACTGGCCTCTGCCTATCATGGCTTCCTAACCATCCCCATATCATAATTGGCCTCATCACTCTGTCTCCTCTCCACCAATCAGCTGGTGTGTGGTCTGGCGCAATGTGGGGCACTGGTGGTAGATGAGGAAATTTCCCCTATAAAATGCGTAAAGAGCTTTGAGTGTCCAGAAAAGCACTATATATTAATATTATCTCTCTTTACACACTTTGACAGACACTTGTACCAGTTTGCATAATATACTTTCTTAAAATCCCTCCATATCTCTATATTGACCTTATTCTAAAATGCGGAAGTGCGCCTGTTTTCGCAATTGTCTTAGAACTTCCGATTCAGTCGCCTATGGGAGAAATGACAAGGAATAATAAACGGCAGAAAATGGCCAAACTACTTGCTCAACAAACAAATGTTTGCATGACTACACAGACCAAGTAGCATAATATAATAAGAAAACATTAAATTGCAACATCAAGCAGCGTAACGAGCAGTTGTTAACATCAAAAAATGAATGGAAGTGAATGTGACCGGAAGTCGCGAGACAAAAAGATTCAAATGGCAGCGCCCGCTCGACAGCTGAGAATAAGGTGAATAAACATTGTACATTTCTGAATAAACAATTTTTGCATCTCACAGCTTAATGATTATTATCCTGAATGTGTTTTTTGTATATAAACTATTGTTACACCATTTTAGTAAGTGAAAAAAAAAAATCGACTGCAAAAATGTTGGAACCTTTGATTTGAAACGCATATCTACTGTAAGATACAGACTATAAAACACCAACTTGTTTCATCAAAGCAAGAAAAGTGTGTTTGTTTGCACAATATAATGCGATAAAGAATTCAAGCAGCACCTTGCCAAAAGTGTTAACATATGGATATCAAACCAAACAGCAAATAATATGAAAGAGACATCAAACATGCATTAATGTGAAGCCCAAATAGTCACAATAAGGCATCATCATCAGAAAAAAAAAACATGTTCAGTCTCCGAGGCTTTTGAATTGCCTTTTGATGATGACTTTACATGCCCTTTGCAATCAGCAGAGGAAGGCATTTCTGTTGATTTGGATCCAAATGATGAAGAAATGACCCAGTGTGCTGGCAGCCCGTGATTACACAAGGGCCTCACTTTTGAGTGCAATTACAGCAACCATCAAACATTGAAGAAAAGGAAAAGATGGGCTGAGAAGCATGCAGGAAATGAAGAAAAAACAGAAAAGAGGAGGTTTAAGAAGACAAAAGCACAACAGGAAGAGATGTGAAGAAATAGCAAATATTCCCAGAGCAACCCCATGAAAACGTCATCAAAGTATTCATCAAAATAGTGAAACTCTTTCTAGTTTTTTTTTTGTGCAGGCTTGTATTTTACAGTACTGTGGTCACTCACTAATCGCAGGAGTTACGTTATAAAAATAGCCTGCAATAGGTGAAATCCGCCGATTAGTCAGCTTTATTTTTTTACAATTATTTTATAGTATAAGGCTGTAAAACCTAGGGATGGCTGACGTGAAACTGACGTTTCAACACAGTGTCAAGATCCCGAAGCGCAAGTGATTCGAAACACTGCACCGAAGCATGATTCGAAACACCCAGGCCACGTGACTAAATTGTTTCGAAACACCTTGTCACGTGACTAAAGCGATTCAAAGCATTGATCATTTCAGAAGCGTTTCGAGACCTGGAGAATCTGCAGTTGACTAGCATAGTCAGATTCATGTGTCTGTCACGTATGGTCTAGCGGACCGTGCGTGTGCACGTTGATACTGTGTTTCGAAGTAATTTTGGGTTCGAATCCTAACCAGTACAATTACTCCAAAATCTTGATTTTATGTATTTTAATATTTTAATCAGTTTTATGGTGTAGTCTAGATAGGATACAGCTGCGTTTACGCCATCAATTTAGCATCATTTTTGTAACACTGTAAAACAATAATTAATATTTTTACAGTACTGTGATGGGTTTTGGATAGACGTTAATAAAATACAATGGGAAATTTAATTAATAATATAATTATTGTTAACTTCTGGCCACAACTGTATCTGATCTAGCAACAACCCTGTTTTATGACCAAAACAATACAAATTTATTTACAAGGTGTTTATTCGAATGTCAGAGCAATGTTGAAACAAAACGATACAAGACCAAAACATTACCAACTGATATTAAAGCATTTCAAAATAATTGTATTAGCCTGGATTTGAACCCAGTATCCCTACATGGCGGTCACGAACTCTAACCGCTCAACTAAACCACTTGTAGGTTCAAGGCTACAAAGTGGGGTTTCATACCTCAATTTGCTCAACTGTTCTGTGCTGAAACTGTTTCAGTGCAATACAAATGAAATGACCGCTAGGTGTCACCGTAGAGTGGGGTTTCGAAACGTTTCGAAGCTTCGACACATTTGCTTTGACTGTTTCAGTGTTTCACGAAGCCTCGCTTTGCCCACCACTAGTAAAACCCCTCACTACACAATTTATACACTATTCTCAGGCAGGCATTAAAGGCTCGTACACACCAAGCGCTTTTCGGAGGAGTAGGGGTGAAAGGGGGGGATTCTTCAAAATGAAGATGGCTGTTAAATGGAACTTAGGGTATTTATAGTGGCTTAGGAATCGTCTGATTGGTGAATCATAAATTGAATAATGCTGGGCCAGCTGCAAGCAATCACAATCAAATTAGTTAATAGATAATCTTCACTTGTTTCTTAGTTAAACTATCAAAAACGTTTACGGATTGACATTTTTCTGATCCCATAACTCTGTGGTTAGTAGTTTTGGAAAATATATTTCTTGTTTAAAAGTTTTTACTGCAAACGTCACGTCCATAATGCTGGAATTGCTCATCACATACCTGGTTTCTATGATCTGCTGCCGCATGGTCTTGACGTACTCAAAGCTGTCGAAACAGCAGATGTCGTACACCAGAACGTAGACGTGAGCACTTCGAATGCCTCGACAGCAAACATCTGACCATTCCTGCACACAGACACACACACACACACACAGTCCACATTATCTAGCAACACAAACAAAGTTGACTTTAAGCATTTAATTGATTCATACATGGACTAAGAAATTACAAAAATAAATAAAATACATTTAGCTATTGCCCAGCAGGCACACAACGTCATAAGACATTATTATTAATATCAATAATATTGACATCTTAAACCAACACCATATTGACGTCAAATACTGACATTTATTCGTTAGGTATGGCAAAAATAATCCAACATCTGATAAACTTCATAGTGGTAACGCCCACACAATGTCAAGCTTTAACATCATTAGACGTTGATTTTTGGTTGGTTTTGGGTTGGACCTTGGACAGTGATGTTGGCCTGACGTTGAGTTCTGACATCAACCTGATTTTTATTTTCAAACAAAATGAAATGTCTTCTTGATGTTTGGGAACAATGTCAGTCTGACGTCATGTTGACGTCTTGTGCCTGCTGAGTGTTTAAGGCCCCTGTGGTCATCATACAGTAAACATTCATCATCTTCTCATAAGTGACATGCATCTAAACAGTCTCTGGGTCATTGCGTGTAAAGATTTTGAACATATTCTTGGACACCTTTAATGCTTCCAAACAGTTTGCTGCAATTATAAATCACACATGTATTGAGGTAGTTCAGTATGATGTGATTTACCTTCTATATGTGATTTGATTGAACAGGAATCGCAGGATTGACTTTTCTAATTCCCATAGAGAAAAAAAAATAAAGCAGTGACTGCAGATTGAAGGAAAGTAGTGGAGTAAAAGTACCGATACTGCACTAAAAATGTACTCAAGAGAAAGTAAAAGCACACATTTTTAAAACTGCTTAGCAAATTACAATTTCTGAGAAAAATGTAGCCTCACAGCAAGAAGGTCGCTGTTCTCCCCGTGTTCATGTGGGTTTCCACTGGGTGCTGCGGTTCCCCCCACATTCCAAAGACATGCACTATAGGGGAATTGGATAAACTAAATTGACCGTGGTGTATGAGTGTGTGTGTGTATGTAAAAGAGAGTGTATTAGTGTTTCACAGTACAGAGCTGTGGCTGGAAGGGCATCCACTGTGTGAAACATATGCCAGATTAGTTGGCGGTTCATTCCGCTGTGGCAACTCCTATTAAATAGGGAACTAAGATTTCATTTTTAATTTATTATTATTACTTTTAGAGGATATGTTTGTTTATAATTCATACATTTTAATTTATTTTATTTCAAGGGGATAGTGGGAAAATAAGAAAAATAAGACAATCTGTAATTTTTCCTTTGTTGTATTGTATACAATGATGTATTTTCTTGTTAAACACAAAAATAAAAAATAAAAATAGGGAACTAAGACGAAGGAAAATGAATGAAAGACTGTTTTGTTTTTGTTAATACTGTACATGGTAAAAGTCTCTAAAAAATGTATAAAGTTTAAAAAGATTAAAATTCTGACTAATTCATGTTATGTTTATGGGCAACTCCAATGAAATGATAGCTCTAACCTTCCATTCATAAAGTTTTTACTGTTGAACATTGACTTCTAAATTACTCATGTTCATACATGTTATAATTCATTAGGAGCTGATTTAACTTTGCTAGTTCACATTTTATTTGTTAATGGGAAGGAAATATGGAGAAGACAAAAGAGCAAAACAGGGAATAGAGAAACAGGTAAAATGATGAGCGCTCTATTCTTATTCTGCTCGTCTATTTGTGTATATCGGCCGTGTGAAGACAGATAGAGGTCACTCTGACGGCACATTTAGCGATTTACAAGCAAATGATGTTTTAGAAAGAGCTTTTTCAGGTAACTTCTGTTACAAATATCAGGAATTTTGGACAAATGCAAGCTTTCAAAGATGGAAGCAAGAAAAATATCTAAATCGCCTCACTAATGATAGCTCAAACCAGACGCTAGCTCTCCGACAGGAAACTCCAGTGGAGAATAAAATTATAAATGTAAAGTTATGAAAGAATCCTCTTTTCCCATTGTCACTAATTAAAGCACTGATCATTATGACACCACTGAGAAAGAAAAGTGTGCTGAGACAAAAGGGCTCGCAGCTCAAGTGGCTCTTTTATCCTTTCAAGCTGTCTGAAATCACAAGTGTTACGCAGAAGCATGTGCTCTTAGGCTACTGGCTCATTATAAACCGTTCTGCAGAAACTAAAACACTCGCTGTGCATAAAATCAGAGAGACCGTATCAAAACATTCAGATTAACTGACCCTTTACAAAGATTCCTCATCCCCTGTTGCCAAGTTTGAAGATCTTACAGCACTTTTTGTAGGTTTAATGCATTTTTTTATAAAATAGTTTTTAGAAAATTGCATTGGATGTTATATACTAATTAATTACAACACTGTTATCTACAAAAATTGAACAATGAATTTACATTTTGAAAAGTGAAATGAAAACCTCTATAATAAGAATTCAGTACACTCTCAGAAATAAAGGTACGCGAACTGTCACTGGGGTGGTATCTTTCAAAAGGTACACGTTTGCACTTAAAGGGTACATATTGGTACCTTAACAGTATATATTAGTACTTAAAAATTAAGAGGAACACTATTGTAATTTTAGGTACAACTTTGTACCCTTGCGGTATTAATATGGACCTTTTAAATTTGTACCTTACATAGCGTCACCGGTCAGTGTGTGTTTTATTCATTTGTTTTCTAGTTTTAAATGGAATAAAGGAAAGGAAGAAAACAGTCGTTTGTCTAATAATACTACTTATTTACGTATTTTGTTTAATTTATGCATGCGCAATGAATGCAAGCCTGCCAACTGATAAAATCATAGAATATGTAAACTTATATATATATATATATATATATATATATATATATATATATATATATATATAATGTTTGCGTCATGAGCACAGATTTGGTTGATCAATCAGAGGAAAAAAGCACAAATCAGCACAGCCTACAAGTGTATAATAAAGTTTAAAGCCATTTATCCGTTTTCCTACCCTAAACCAAAAAAAACGAAAATAGAGCCAAAATCTTTTTTGTTTTTGAGAACAAATGGAAAAATTGCAATAGCCTAGTTAGTGCACCGACATACAGTGCAGTAGCACATCAGGGCACCCCGAGTTTGAATCCCGGCTCAAGGACATTTCCCTACTCCCCTCTCTCTCTTCAGCTTCACTTCCTGTCTCAATACTGTCCTATTCAAAAAGGGTAAAAAATATATCTTAAAAAAATGTACACAGAATGTCAACCTCAAACACCATTGTTTCCTTGATTTTGACGTAAATTCTGCGAGTACAAAATCCCTGTAAAAACAGGCCAATCACAAAAAAAAAAACAACAACAGACTTTAATGCTGTTTACGGGATCATTAAATACACCTCCTAGGGCTTTAGTGGCCACATACGTGGACAGCACATTTTAGCTCTTAAGTGGCTATTTAAAATACTTTAAATGTTTTATATTTTGTTACAGACATACAGTGTCATCCTGGAACTGATTTCATTCATTCATTTTCTTGTCGACTTGACAAGAAAACTATTTATCTGGGGTCGCCACAGTGGAATGAACCACCAATTTATCCAGCACGTTTTTATGCAGCTGATGCCCTTCCAGCCGCAACCCATCTCTGGGAAACATCCACAAACACTCATTCACACACACTCATACACTACGAACAATTTAGCCTACCCAATTCACCTGTACTGCATGTCTTTGGACTGTGGGGGAAACCGGAGCACCCGGAGGAAACCCACGCGAATGCAGGGAGAACATGCAAACTCCTCACAGAAACGCCACCTGAGCCGAGGTTCGAACCAGCGACCTTCTTGCTGTGAGGCGACAGCACTACCTACTGCGCCACTGCTTCGCCCTGCAACTGATTTGCAGCGTATAAAATGTCTCAAACACTATGTGTAACTGTCCAAAATGGGAAAATTTTTGTTTTTACTCTTTGATTTTCAAAACATGTTAAAAAACTTCTTTGTTAAATATGCATTACAAAAAAAAGGTAAAAAGGAAAAAGTGTTTTTTGTAAATTCGGACCACGAGTCCACATATATGGACATTATTTTTCTTTAAAAGTACATCATATCAAAATATGATACTTAGGTTTTTATTCTTTCCAATAAGCCTAAATAGCAAAGAGAAATAAAAAATGCATGTAAAAAAACACATTGGGCATTAAGAGGTTAAATACAGCCCCAAACTTCATCTGACTGGCCAAAGTTTCCTAGTGAAATTACAAAAAAAATTCTTAAGTTTATCCAACATTGCATTGAACAAACATGTGGGACTCTTATTTTGAAAACAGGAAAGGCAGAACAAGTAATGCCTCATTCACACTATCGCTCTGGGTGGTGATTGAAACCGCCACTGAAAGTAAACATTGTTAAAGCCAGCTAATACTCATGACAGAAACTTTCAGCGATAATTTCTTAGGACAGTTAACCAAAAAAGTTACTCTTCATTTACCCGCCCTCAAACTGTTCCACACCACAAGTTGTTAAACACAAAAGAAGATATTTTGAAGAATGTTGGAAACCAAACAGTTGATCCATTGATGTTGATCTTTTGGTTACCAACATTCTTCAAAATCAGAAGAAAGAAAACAGAAGAAGGAAAAAAAAAACAAATCTTACACAGGATTGAAACTAAATGATTTAATATTAATTTTTGCGTGAATCATATTTTTAACAGAACGTTATTTCTCTGTGTGAAAAATATAATCTTTTTCCACCATAAAGAGTCTTTTGTGTAGCTGGCCTTTCGTAGAGAGTTTGATTGACAGGTGATCAGACCGACATAGCACCAACATTGGATTTTCTCCAGAATAGATCACAAATAGTCAAAATTACCATCAGTTTTGAGTCCACAGTCTTTAAGTGGAGATGTGTATTGTCCGCATTAGTGTATTATATATACACCAATCAGGGGCTGTCCAGGGTGGCACTGGTCACCTCTGGCACCTTCTTGGCCACCTCAATATTTTATTCACGGTTGACAGTTGCTGATGCT